ATATCAAAGGCTGTCACTGAAGAAAAAAACATGGTTAAACAGCTCCACAATCTGGTTTTACTGTATAAGTAACCTAGACAGAAATTTTATCAGAGATTTAATTTACTCATCAAGGCTAAAACAGAAAATCCCTCAAATCCAGAAGAAACAACAAAATAAGATATTCTCCATAAGATATTTATTTTGTTGAATCTTTGTTTCCTGAAAAAGCTAAGTAAGTCCTAAAAATACATGGAGAAGGGATTTCTGGAGGAAAGAACGTTGTGTTGTATTTGTCCGTACCTAAATCACAGAAAACAGAAAAACAGAAACTAAAACACAAATAAGATTTTGATTCTATATATGACAGAACTTACATTGTGATCAAGCTAAAATTGAAGTTCATGACATTATGTTCCGGTGATTGAGAAGATTATTTTATTTGAATAAAATTTGGTACTAAATTCCTCACCTAACCTAGTAATTTTATAATGGACGTCCCATTTCCCTATATCCTAAACTGAAGATCCATTTTAATTTAATTAGTTGATGTTAATCAACTTAGCATATTTTAGAGGTATTTGCCTATCCAAATTATTAAATGTTGAAATTTCCCAAAGATTTTCCCATAAATCACGATTCTAAGATTTAAACTTTTGCCATGAAATCTCCTGAAATATTATATACTAATATTTAGAACTTGAAAGCTTCCCTGAAGTTAAGAGAAACCATTTTCATAGGGGCATTTTAGGACAATGGGCAACATGTTATGGTACCAAAAGTCTGAACTTCAGGAGCCAGCAACCCACTCTACATCCCTCTCAACCTCATCCCAAGAAACACATAAAATACCATATGATTTCACTTATATATGGACATAAAACACAAAACAAATGAACAACAACAAAAACAACATCAGAAACAGACTCATAAATACAGAGAACAAATTGGTGATTGCCAAAGGGGAGGGGATGGGGAAGTAGATGAAATAGATGAAGGGGATTAAGAGGTACAAACTTCCAGTTAAAAAATAAATCAGAGGGATGAAAAGTACAGCATAGGGAATACAGTCAATAATATTGTAATAACTTTGTATGGTGGTAGAGGTATGATATGTATGATGATAACTACATTTACCATGGTGAGCATTTCATAATGTATATAATTGTCAAATCACTATGTTGTATACTTGAAACTAATATAATATATAATAATATAATGATATATGTAAACTATGATTAATAAGAAAAGTGAAAGGAAAGGAAAGAAAAAGAAAGAAAGGGGAAGGGCAGGGAAGGAAAGGAAGGAAGGAAGAAAAGGAAGAAAGGAAGGAGAAATTTAGTACACAAAGCAAAAACAAAACTAATAAATTCCTATCACTGCACATTTTTAACACCTTGGCTGCCAAGGTATATGCCAGGTGCTACATAACAAGCAACCAAAAAAAAAATCTCTCAGTGGCCTAGGACCAATATATGATTTTTTTTGAGGAAGGAGGGGGAGTCTTTTTACTTTCGTTGTTGTTGCTTTGTCGTGCAAAATCCAATGTGTATATTTCTGAGGGGACTCTTTGGGGCACCCCTCCTTCAAATAGTGTCTTAGTGATCAGAATTTCTTTCACCTTGTAATGAGACCATCTTCCAGGCCCTTCCTTAGAAAGGGTCTTTCTGTCAAACTACTGCATTTAACCAGCTCACAAGCACAGAGACAGCATTTGGAAATTTGAAGAGTTTTTAAAGGCCAAACCTAGAACTGGCATACATCCATTCATATTCTGTTGACCAGAACTAGTCACACACTCTCACCCAGATACAAGGTGACTGGGAAAAATAGTATTTCTCTGTAATAGAAAGAAAAGAAAGTAGTTCTTTGAACACATTGCAATTTTTGTGTCTTACAAGGCACAAAAAGAGAAATGATGGGCTTAATCTTTCTTGTTTTCTTATAAAAGGAAGCAGAGAAATTTGTCAGGCAAAAGAACCGTTTCCCTATTAATACTTTTTTAAAGGGCTATATCAAGTGAGTGTTACACAGGGAGCACCAATAATAGTGGTTGTTCAGAAAATATAGAGAGATTATTTATAATCTTATTTCTAGTAGCCTTGATGTAAAGCCCAATATATATTATTTTTAAAAAAAGAACTTGCGAAGTCATTTCTGTAGAATGACACACTAATCTGCATGGTGTTCTCTAGTAATCAAAATGTCATAGAGTTCAAGTCATTAACATTATTTTATGGATAGTATATACCTACTGGTAAAGCTTCAAATATCAATTTTCTAATCTAGAATTTTATTAGGAATGAGATTTTCAAGTAATTTTAATTATTCTAGCATTATTGTCTCCATATAATTTATAAGAAATATTCATTTGGTTTTGGTGTTATTTCATGTTATTGCCTCTTAATATATTTTGTTCTCTGATAGCAAAAAAAAAAAAAAGCTAATACATCTAGACTGCTTCCTATGCCAGGTAATACAAACATTTTTCATGTACTGTTAGGTCCTAAGATTGAACCAAGATTGTCTAGTTCAAGAATCCACATTCTTAATGACTAGCAATGACTCTTAAAAATATTCTTTATTTAAAATAATACATAAAATTTTTTAGTAATTTATTTCTACATATTACCACATTTTCCAAGCCATTTAATCTGCCACTTTTATTACTTATACCAACAAACCACTTTCATCCACACTGATGGAGTGGGGAAGGGTATATATAATCCCAAAGAGTAGTAGGTAATCCAAAAATTAGGTGACTTTAAATTAATGAGAATTATTTCTATGTTTGAAGTGCAGACTTCGTCGGATTACATTAGAGATATAACTTATTTGCAGGTGACTAAAAGCAGCTGTGTGTCAACATGCAAAATGTCTCAAACTGAAATTTATAAACTATAAAATTGATTAGCTAGTGTCCAAGATTATTAGATTGAGCAAGATATAGGAGCAGTAAATATGACTGTAATTCAAATGAAATAAAAACATGAGCATTCACTTGTTCATGACAAACATTTTCTCTTTAGTACTAAATATATGAAATGTGTTTATCCTCAGAGCTCCTGAACTCTCTAGATTGATGCATGATACACAGAGCTGAGATGCCATCATACCGTTTCTTATTCTAGACCCTATATCTGACCCACAGTAGTGCACTGTGTCTGCAACCACTGGTATGAGTGGTCCTAGCCAGGGCTGAATTCAAACTACATTAATATTTCATTTCATCTCAGTGTCTGAGAAGAGAGTTGGTGTGAGCTCACTTATGAAATTAAGTTAAAGTATAAAGAGATGTGTTAGAGGTTGGATTGTGCCCCTCACCACCCCCCCCAGATTTGTATGTTGAAGTCCTAAGCCCCAGGATCTCAAAATGTGACCTTATTTGCAGAGATGATCTTCACAAAGGTAATTAAGTTACAGTGAGATCATTCATGTGGGCTCTAACCCAATGTGGCTGGTATCATTATAAAAAGGAGGAATTTACTTACAGACTTAGTCATATAGGCAGAATGCCTTGTGAACATAATGATGATCATCTGTAAGACAAAAAGAGAGGAACAGATCCTTCCCTTACAGCCTTAAGAAGGTACCAATCCTGCCAACACCTTGATCTTGGACTTCCAGCCTCTGAACTGTGAGACAATAAATTTCTGTTGTTAAGCCACCTGGTTTGTGGTACTATGATACTGCAGCCCTAGCAAACTAATATAAGGGCATAAAAGTACCAATTAAGTTTTCCTCACCAGCAGAGTCAACCTGTATAACATTACTTATGACCTAATCAAAGGGTTTAGGGAGTTCCACCTGTCTCCACCACCCATTTTACTGAATTCCCCACTTTCTCATTTTCCTCTGGCCTTTGATTTCTATGCCAGCCTTGAATTAGTTGATTCCCTCTATACACCTCCCTCTCCTAGTTATTTAATTTAATTTTTCAAAACAAGTGGATTAATTAATTGCCATGGGTTTGTCAATTAGGCTCAACAAGAAGCCCTTTAAACTTACTCTACACTACAGCATTTTTTTTCTAAAGTTTTTTATTCTCCATGAACTCCTTCAAATAATTGTACCTGACAGGTAAATGATATTTTGATGAAGCTGTTTTGACATGGTGTCATTTTAAAATAGCTAAAAATCAAACCATTAAACTTTTATCACCAACTTTTATTTTTAATTAATTTGTGAAACAAATATCACTCTGTCTCCTCTCCCAGCCCTAGGAGATGGGATTGAAGAAAAGCCAAAGATAGAGTGAGGTTCAGAGGTTTCTGTTGGTACAACCTCTTTGAATAGGCTGGAATTTTGACACAGCTGCTTTAACTACCTACAAGCAAACCTCTGTCAGAATCAAAACAACTGCCTCCGAATGCACAAGCTGCACCTGACTATGATTCATTTATCATTATACATCTGTGTTTCTCAAACAAAAGTATGTAAATCCCTAAGATATGATTTACTATGCCAAGAAATGCTCAAAAGCAAGGCTAGACATGACATAGCTTCTTTGGGTGTCTATTTTTTTTTTTTTAAGATTTTATTTATTTGACAGAGAGAGAGAGACAGCTAGAGAGGGAACACAAGCAGAGGGAGTGGGAGAGGGAGAAGCAGGCTCCCGGCTGAGCAGGGAGCCTGATGCAGGGCTCGATCCCAGGACCCCAGGATCATGACCCGAGCCGAAGGCAGACCCTTAATGACTGAGCCACCCAGGCACCCCTCAGGTGTCTATTTTAATCAAATCTGAAGATAAAATAACTTTACCTGTTATTGTTTTTATATCAAGACAAACATGGATATGGCATGAAATAAAATGAAAATTGTATAAATTTTTAAAATAAAACATGACATGGGGCACCTGGGTGGTTGCAGTTGGTTAAGTGTCGGACTCTTGGTTTCTGCTCAGGTCATGATCTCTGGGTCATGGGATTGAGCACCCCCCACCATCAGGCTCCACACTCAGTGCAGAGTCTGCTTCAGATTCTCTCTCCCTCCCCTTTTGCCCCTCCCCACTTGCTCTCTCTCTCAAATAAATAAAATCTTTAAAAAAATAAAAATAAGTAAAATAAAATAAAATAAAACATGACATGTTGAAGAAAGAGTCTGCACCTAGTCACTCCTCTCTTACTCCCAACCATCCATGTTTCTTCTCCACTTAGTGATCCTTCGACAGAAATGTTTGAAAAGCACAGCTGTAAACAATTCTATAGCTCTCCAACACACACACCCCCACACCCCCACACACATCTTCACATTTTCCACCTACTTAGCATTTAATCATTTGTATGTATAACTGTGTGTGTGTAATCTGCAATGATTGTTCCTAAATCATTTACTCTTATTTGTTTGCATATTTTTGAGAGTTTCAAGTTATCCCATTGAAATGTTAAAAGAAAAAAAAATGAAAAGGCAACCTACAGAATGGGAGAAGATATTTGCAAATGAAAAATCTGATAAAGGGTTAGTATCTAAAATACATAAAAACTTGTAAAACTCAACAGCCAAAAAAAAGAATAATCCAATTAAAATATGAGAAGACATGAATAGACATTTTTTCAAAGAAGACATCTAGATGACCAACAGACACATGAGAAGATGCTCAACATCACTTATCATCAAGGAAATACAAATCAAAACTACAGTGAGGTATCACCTTGCACCTGTCAGAATGGCTAAAATCAACAACACAAGAAACAACAGGTGCTGGTGAGGATGTGGAAAAAGGGGACCCTCTTGCACTATTGGTGGGAATGCAAACTGGTCAACCACTCTGGAGAACAGTATGGATGTTCCTCAAAAAGTTAAAAAGGAAGCAAGCTCTTTCATGTCTTATGGCATGAGTCCCATCATAAGGGCTCCACCCTGATGAACTAATCATCTCCCAAAGCCTCCCATCTCCAAATACCATCACATTGGGGATTAGGTTTTCAACATATCAATGTTGGGGGACCATTTTCAGTCAAGAGTGGGAATATATTCAAAAGAATTGAAATATACACTTATATGAAAACTTGTACATACATGTTCAAAGCAGCATTATTCATAAGAGCCAAAAAGTAGAAACAATCCAAATATTCATCAACTGATGAATAGATTTTTTAAAATGTGGCATATCTATACAGTGAAATACTATTCAGCCATAAATCATGTTCACAGTGAAAGAAGCCACATACAAAAGCTGCATATTTGCACCAGGTTATACAACTGTATATAATTCCAATTACATAAACTGTCCAGAAGAGGCAAATCTATAGAGACAGATATTATATTAGCAGTTGTCAGGGTCTACAGGAGGAGAGGAAAATGGGGAATGAACATTAATGGACATGGAGTTTACTTGGGGAGTTATGAAAACGTTCTAAAATTACATACAGCTGATAGTTGTACAGCTGTGAATATACTAAAAACTACTGATTTACTTTAAAAGGGTAAGTTTTATGGCATTTGAATTATTTCTCAATTAAATTAATTATTAATTTGTTCTGACTAATTATTCCTCAACTAAAAAATAGTAGCCATTAAGGAAGTAAATAGACAAGATCCAGACTAGGAGAAACATTATCTGAAAGGACTCTTAGAATATAAAGAGAACCTCTAAAAAAATTTTTTTTAAATAGGTGAAAGGATTGAAGAGATACTTCACAAAGCAAGATAAAGAAATGACCAATAAACAAAAAGAAAGTTCCTCAACATCATTAGTAATCAGAGAAATGCAAATAAAATCACAATGAAATAATATTTCAATCTCACTTGAGACGTTAAAATCAAAAAGACTAATACTAAAAAATGACAAGGATATGGAACTCCATTCATTGCTGGTAAGACTGTAAAATCATACAATCACTTTAGAAAATGGTTTGGCAATTTCTTATAAAATCCTATGATGGAGGGATCCCATTCTTAGGTATTTATCCAAGAGATATAAAAACATACACTACAAAATGACTTTTACAAGAATGTCTTAGCACTCCTTTTTGTAATAGACAAAAATTGGGAACAATGCAAATGTTCATCATCAAAAGAACAGACAGTGGTATATATATTCATACAATGGAATACTACTGAGCAATTAAAAGGACTGAATGACTCAAACACACAATAATTTGGATGAATCTTAAAAACATGCTGTGTCAAAGAAGCAAAACCCAAAAAAGTACATACTGTATGATTCAATTTATATGGAGTCCAAGAGCATGCAAAACTAATCTCTGCTGTTTCTGGTGTTTGGAGGAGAGTGGTGGTAGAAGAATGACTAGAAGGGTCACATGGGAACTTTCTAGGTGATAGAAATGTTCTACATATTGATTTGGGTGGTGATTGCACAGTTTTGTACAATAGTCAAAACCTTTTGAACCTCTGCTTTAAAAATGAAATAAAAATAGAAAAGATCTGTAAATAATAAATCAATTTAGAAGTTACTCAGACTCCATCAAATATCCAAAAATTTAGATTTAGATTAAATTTATGAGCAAAGGATTGGGTATTCTTTTTTTCTGGCCTACTTTTTGGTCTTAACATTGATAACTATGTTTGTTGGATATGCATTTGTGTCTATATTTCCCCAAATTCAAACACTCATATTTAAACTAGATTAAATGACCTCATGCATGCATGCACACCACACTTAGAAATACCCCTTTCGGCAGCATTATGAAGTGTTTTTTGACATCCTTTCTTAATTAAAAGAAAACATATGTCTTCAATTACTAGTACTATAAGCTTTCAAAATTGTGGGAGTAATCCAAACTACTTCCTTCAAAGACAACTGACTTAAACATACTCACAAAGGAAGCATAGATTAGGATCATGATTTTTATCTTTTAAGAGACTAGAAGAACAGAAGGGGTTACAATCTTGTCATTTTATGCAACTCTTCTGTTCCGATATATCAAAAACTTGATAAACCAAGGTCATGAAGGACAGTTGAAAAGGAATCAAAGTAAACAATGTACTTCGTCGCCAACAGAGTCTGCCAATATGAGATTAGAACTCTCTATCCTAGTAAGAAAATGTCTTTGGAAAGTTCCTTACAACATTTTATGACTCACAGATATTCCCAGAGGTTCCTGTTTCCATTCTGCCGTAGACAGTGTTTGAAGACGTGCAGTTCTTGTCAACTGTTGTTCTTAGGCAACTTGGCTGAGAGGTCTGTTTAAAAAACATTTGTTGGAAAGATAATATGTTTGGATGTTTTAATTTTTTTAACCAAAATTCCAGATTTTAAATCTAGTTTAACTCTTAATTCAACATGGACTTAAAGAATAGCCTAAGAAGAATTACTATGTTAGTTACATAATATGTATTATGAACTGAGCAATTTTCCCACTTGAAAACTCCCAAACCAGGGGGTACGTATTCTTGGCATAGTCTGCTTTGCATATCTTTCCAACTGCCTCCAGATCCCTGGCTCTGTATTCAATAGTTCTGGCTCTGATCTTGGCCACCCAGCTCAGTACCTCACCTTGGCTACTACTTTGACCAACACTGCCAAAACACCTTCCAGCCCACCAGGACTTGATTCCTGGCTATCCTCCACTTTTGTCTAATCCCAGTTCTCTCTTTCTGTTCTAAGTATTGAATATCACTCCTGAGGTATATTTTCTCCCCATACTCATCTAGCTCTATTCCACTCTACTTGCAGATAGACCCCCAAGGCCTATTCTCTGCTCCTAGCCAGTTCCTCGACTCTTTCCTTTCTCTACTCCCTAAAGTCCTGAATAATAAGCCACCTGGTTTTTAACAGTTCCCATCATCTACATATGATCTTATTTGTTTTCTTGACAATAACTATAAAGATACAGACATGAGAGAAAAAAATATTATAAAATATTTTAGCATTATCCCAATAAAAGTTATTCCTTCATTTAATAGGAATGTAAATGGAAGGAGACCTGATCTCTCTTGACTCTTTAATGATTCATCACTGCTCTACTCCCTACCCCAATCCTCCATCTCTCTTACTCTTGGTATTTCCCTCACATGTGCTTTCTTTGACAAAGCAGTTCCTCTCCCAGATTCCACACCCAACTCTCCCTTGACTCTGTCATTGCTCAGACTCTCCACAGATGCAGTAACTGGAGCCAGCCCAGACACATGTTTAGTTTGACTTACACAGCATTTAAAAAATTTTTTCAGGGTGCCTGGGTGGCTCAGTTGGTTAAGCGACTGCCTTCAGCTCAGGTCATGAGATCCCAGGGTCCTGGGATCGAGTCCTGCATCAGGCTCCCTGCTCTGCGGGGAGCCTGCTTCTCCCTCTCCCACTCCCCCTCTCACTGTGTCTCTCTCTGTCAAATAAATAAATAAAATCTTTAAAAAAATTTTTTTTCAGTTAGTTGACAATATTTAAAAATTGGAAGAATAAGCCTAAAAGTAGAGATTTCCAAAGAAAATCAAAACAGGATATTGAGTAGATCTTTGCTCTCCCATGTTCATTGCACCATTATTTATAATAGCCAAGATATGGAAACAACTAAGTGCCCATCAACAGATGAGTGGATAAAGTAGATGTGAGATGTATACACACACACACACACACACACATCAGAATGGAATATTATTCAGCTGTGTGAGAAAGAACGTAGTCCTGTCATTTATGACAACACAGATAAGACTTTGAGGACGTTATGCTAGGTGAAAGAAGCCAGACAGAGAAAGACAAATACTGCATGATATCACTTATATGTGAAATCTAAAATGGGAAAAATGTCAAATTCATAGAAACAGAGAGTAGAAAAGTGGTTGCCAGGGAAAACATGGTGATTATAGTTGATATACATTGATAACACTTGTACAATTGAAATTTGCTAATAGAGTTGAACTTAAATGTTCTCACCAAAAAAGAAAAAGAAAGATAAATACATGGAGCAATGGATGTGTTAATTAGCTAGAAGGGGAGGCAGAAATCCTTTCACAATATATATGTATATCAACTCACCACAATGTACGCTTTAAGTATCTTACAATTTTACCCCAACAAAGCTGAAATTTTTAAAAATTAGGTGTCGTTTGCTCAAGTTCATTAGTCAGTAAACTACAGTTTCAAATCTGTGCCCATAAGTAAGGTTTCATTAGAACACAAGCATGTTCATTTGTTTATGTCATATCTATGGCTACTTCTATGCTACAACAGCAGCGTTGAGCACTGTGACAGAGACCATATGGCCAAAAATATTTCAAATATTACCAAAGCCAAAATACTTACAGTCTGGCCCTTTACAGAAAATGTTTGCCAAACTCTGTTGAAGATGGTTCTCAATCAACACGGGATGCCCTGCCCCCAGAGATTCTAATATGATTAGTCTGCAATGGATGCTGGTGTCCAATTCCCAGAGATTCTGATGTTATCGTGCTGCACTAAGTGCTGACGTTGGTATTTTCAAACTCCCAGACAATTCTGTTTTGCATGTAGGCTTGTGAACCCCTCAATTAGGTAATCTAGATGCCTTCAACAGTCTGTTATTCTTGTCTCTTTCTCTGGGAAATATATATTTCCCTTGTTTAACTAGGAAAAGACTATCTTCTACCCACCTTCACAAGTGTTCTGAGCAATGCAAAAGAGCCCTTTGTATCATCAGAAATCTAGATCATAGCTTAGTGCTTTTTTAAAAAATAGGTAACATTATCCTCAGTTTGAAAGTACAGAAATTGAAACTCAAACATGTTTAGTGCCTTTCCTAACTTCTTTTCTTTCTTTCTTTCTTTCTTTCTTTCTTTCTTTCTTTCTTTCTTTCTTTCTTTCTCTCTCTCTCTCTCTCTCTCTCTCTCTCTCTCTCTCTCTCTCTCTCTCTCTCTTCTTTCTTTCTTTCTTTCTTTTTTCTTATAATCTCTACACTCAACATGGAGCTGGAACTCATGACCCCGAGATCAAGAGTTACATACTCCTCAGACTGAGCAAGCCAGGCACCCCATAGTGCTTTAAAAAAATAGATTTTGGGGGCGCCTGGGTGGTTCAGTTGGTTAAGCATCAGACTCTTGATCTCAGCTCAGGTCTTGATCTCAGGGTTGTGCATTCAAGCCCCACACTGAGTGTTTTTTTAAAAAAAAAAAAAAAAAACGGATTTGGGCTCCAACACAGATGTATCAAATAAAAGTCTCCAAGAGGCAACAATTTTGAAAAGCTTCCCAGATGATTCTGATAAGTAACTAGATTTGAGAGCAACTACCTAGCTATGACACAGTCATTCACACAGTTGCATTCACTGGAAGCTCAACTAGGGCTAAAATGTCCATGATAGCCTCTTATCCTTCAGGGTATCTCTCTACATGGCCTCTGATCATTCAGATGTTTAACTTGAACATCTTGAAAGCATGGCAATTAGGATGCAAAGGGTAAAGACAAGAAAGCTCCAAGCCCCTTTAAGCCTGGACTAAGAAATCTCAGAATGGTACTTCTGCCGCACACTGTTGGCTAAAGCAAGTCAAAAGTACAGCCCATATTCAAGAAGAGGGGAAAGAGACTCCACCTCTTTCTGTGAGAAGCAGCATGCATGTATAGGAAGGTGAGATATTGATGGCACTCATCTTTGGAGACTATCAAAAAGAATCTAGTAAGGAGCAAAGCAAAACAATGGTAACAGTCAAGCATTAGGATTGTGATATGAATAAAAGAAAGGTATGAACAAGAAAAGAAGTATAAACAATGAAGCATCAGGGAGGAATGTTCCCCAAAAAATATTTTAACTAAGACAGTTGTTTCAAATAAGATATTTAAACTGAGATATTTGAAATAAGGTTGTTGAGTTTTTTTAAAATTAGACATTAGAACTGAGTTAGGCATGAACTATATGAAGAAACTGAACAAGAACTGAAGCATTCCAAATAGAGAGAAGATTGTGGAATACAAAGATATGGAACATCATGAGAGCAAAAGCTGCAAGTACCTTGGTATGGGTGGAACAAGGATATTTGTGGATGGAGCGACTTTCCAGCAAACAGCTGTACATTAAGATCTGGAGCTTAAGAAAGAGGTCTAGGCTAGAGATATGGATTTGGGAATCTTCAGAACATACATGATGGTAGAAGGTCAAAAGGTGAGCCAGAAGAGGGTCATATGGGACAAAAAATATAGTGAGAAGGGCACAAAACCAGGAACAGAGATCGTGGAGGTCACTGATATCTGAGATCCTACATAGGAGATGTGAGAAATAGCAATAGGAAAAGTAGGAGGATAACTTATTAGAAAAATATCTAAAAAGAAAGGGGGAGTTTTCAGGAAGGAGGAACTGGTCAATAATGCCAATTGCCGGGCACCTGGGTGGCTCAGTTGGTTAAACGACTGCCTTCGGCTCAGGTCATGATCCTGGAGTCCCTGGATCGAGTCCCGCATCGGGCTCCCTGCTCGGCAGGGAGTCTGCTTCTCCCTCTGACCCTCCCGACCCTCCCCCCCTCATGCTCTCTCTCTCTCAGTCTCTCTCTCAAATAAATAAATAAAATCTTTAAAAAATAATAATAATAATGCCAATTGCCACAGAAAGTGGGTCAAGACAAAAGCAGAAAAGTGTTTATTGGATTTGGTGATAGATAGGTCATTGGTGAATTCAAGGATTGTTTCAATAGAAAAGGAGCAGAAACTAGATTGTAGGGAGTTTAACAGAAAAGAATTGAGAAAGTATGAGAAGTTAATGTAGTGCAATTGATGCAAGCAGTGCTGTGAACAGAAAGAGGGGATGCTGAAAGATCTAAAACAGTCAAAATGACACTAATACACTGACACTTGTACATTAGTACATATTAGTAAGTGTTAGTTGACTGAACGTGAATGAATGAATAAATACATAGTATAAAGAAGTAACTGACTTTCACAGAAAGGCAACAACTGCTTTAACATTATCCCTTCCAAATTAAAGTTCTCAGCATGGTACACTAATATAACTATGATTAATTCCAAAGAAACCCTGTATTAATTCCTTTATTTATGTTCAGTTCTTACAAAATGCTAACAAATCCTTGCACTGGATATGTGTAAAATCATGAACAACTAAAAGCAGCTTGAGGCAAAAGAAAGAAAATTGGATTGAGTTCTGCTCCAGGTTTCTAACAACTCACTTGTATGTCTTTAAGTTTGCCCCTTCATCTCTTCAGGCTTTGGTTTGCTTTCCATATAATGAAGTGTGAATTAGATCAGGGATAGAGAATAGGTATCAAGTGAT